CAAAAAAAATTAAATAGAGATACAATAGACAACTTAAATAATAATAACATAAGTGATGGCTTTTAGGGGAAACTAGGCTGCGTCCCAATACTATCCCAGTTCGGTCCCGATTGATTCTCATTCGGATTGAAAACCACCATGCCTTAAAACACTAGCCAAATATCAACAATCAACAATGTATTGAAGTATCTCTTTATATCGTCCCACATATTAGCATAGATGACATGGTCCTACGCTCCATTCACACCATTAACACTTCAAAAATAAATAAATAACATTGATGACATAACGGCCTTTGATGACATGACGCGGTATAAAATTCACCAGCATAATAACCGCGTTTAAGATAGAGAAGTAAAAATCATGAATAAAATCGTAAAAAAAAAGAACACAACGCATGGATACGAGTATTCCGACATGGGTCCATAAACACAAGAGAAAAAGGGGCACCCACAAAAGTCCACTTTCTCTATCTCTACACGATCTATAAAGATCAATTCTTTTTCATTCATAAAATTCTCTACACTAAAAATAAAAAATGATAACTAACTAAACTAAATCTATTTTAGATTCTTTCCAAAATCATTATAAAATAAAACTTTATGTTCCTAAAGATTTGCTTACTAAAAAGAAACCTCTTTTCCTACCCACTTTAATCTTAGGAAGCAAACTCTAGAATGTGATCTAAAGATTTGCTCCAAGATTTACTACAATATACTCTAAAATAATAATCACCTATTAAAATTTAGATTGACTTTATCAAACTAAAGATTGGCTTGCACAAAAATAAAATATGGACACGTGCTTAAAATATATAACTGTTATAAAAGAAATCCATATTAATCGTATTTCTAAATATTGATCCTAATAAATAACAATAAAAGTCTACTCAATCTCGAAAAATCAAATTAATAAAAATTAAAAATTTGAACAACCAAATCTTGATCTGCTTTTTGGTCTGCATCATTCTTCCCTGGTTAGAAAAAACTCCTCATCGAATTTTGAATTGTGCTAAGATGAAAGCTGTATTATTCTCACTACCTTATTCGATCCCAATATTGTGAAAGAACAAAATGCACGGATACAAGTATTCTAACACCGGCCCATAAACAAAAGAGACGAAAAGACACCTACAAAGGGCCACTATCTCTATACGATCTATAAAGATCAATTCTTTTTCATTCATAAAATTCCCTACTAAAAACCAAAAATGATAACTAACTAAACTAAATCTATTTTAGATTCTTTTCAAAAATTTTCTAAAATAAATCTTTATGTTCTTAAAGATTTGCTCACTAAAATGAAACCTCGTTTCCTACCTACCTTAATCCTAGGAAGCAAACTCTAGAATGTGATTTAAAAATTTACTCCAAGATTTACTACAATATACTCTAAAACAATAACCACCTATTAATATTTAGATTACCTTTATTAAACAAAAGATCGTCTTGCTCAAAAATAAAATACTGACACCTCCTTAAAATATATAACTTTTATCAAAAAAATCATTACTAATCCTATTTCTAAAAATTGATCCTAATAAATAAAAATAAAAATATCCTCAGTCTCTAAAAATAAAATTAAATTTATAGCGAACAGATTTTCATCTGGGTAAAAACGCATACTTAAGTCATAGCAGCGCCCCAGGGTTTAAGCAAGGTAGCACCAACATGAACTTCTGTTTCTTGTGAAAGCGCTTTCATGCGTCGCACGAAAGTTTACTCAACGATGGAGCTTTTACTAACGACCAGCATGTGGAAGCGCTGCCACATCTAAATAAAAATGAAGCCGCTTTCTCGCAAAATATACAGAGGTCCTGGAAAAGGTTGTGAAAATGCTTTTTCAGCTCCTACATTTAGTGTCACTTTTCCACAAACAAACCGACTTAACAAATGTTGGGTTGGCAAGGAATCGCCCGGTCGGGAATCGGTCACTTAGTACCGATTTTGTCAATATATAGCAAATCATCTAGGTCTAGAAGAGAATCGGTGATTTTCTACGGTAAAACAGTATTTTTCTATAATAAAAATGCTTTTTTTTTTTCTTTTTTTTTTTTTTCTATGGCCTTTAGCAGTAGTAAAAACGCCGTTTTGCTACAATAAAAATGTCGTTTCACATATCCATACCGATTTTTGGCTGGTTCCCTGTTTTTGCACATGTTTTTTTTGCCGATTCACTATATTTCCTACGCAATAAAACAACGATCCGGATCGCCGATTCACCGATCTGGACAGATTTTTACAATGCCCAATCCAAGTCATCAATCAGTTTTTTAAATCACTAAAACAAACATAGGAAAGTGATAGTTTTGCGAGAAAGACATAACTTTCTCAGGAAGTTCTTTCCTAGGTCAAGAAAACAATTTGGTTGTATCTTGGGAGGTTCCCCTAGATTCGGGGCAAAGGAGCATTCACAATTTCATCATAGGGGCGGTGCATCATGACCGGACCACCCAACTAACCGGTGAGTCAAAAACTTGTCCGACAAGTGGAATGGTTTCTTTTAAGATAAACAAACATACAAGGAATTGAGTTAGAAAAATATGGAATGTAATACAATTATCAAAGAAGGAATAACTTTCCAAGCAAATTCAGTTTTGATGAGTAAATAAACTAAATTTGATGAGTCGAACGAGTTAATTATAGTTGAATAATAGTTTTGATTGGTATAGAAATTATCATCATAATCATTATCATCATCTGAGTCTTATTCCAACTATTTAGGGCTTACTACACGAAAAGCTATTACTAAAAATAACAAGAGCTAGGCATTTGATTTTTAAATGACAAACTAAAATTGAACAAGACAGAGGATGGATCATCAAATAAAAAATAATTGATGCAACGAAAACTAACAAAATACAAATACAGATAAACAAACACAAAATTTACTACCACCAAGAACATTCAAGCCTTAAGATCATAATACAGAAAAATTGACAAACTCCACAACAAATGAACAAGAAAAACTTCAATAATTCTTATGCTATGAGCAATCAATTGAGATCAAACGACATAAGGATTTTCAATCTTCCTAGACATTCACAACTAAGAAATAATTGATGCAAAGAAAACCAACAGAAAACAAATACAGATAAACAAACCCCATATTTACTACCACCAAGGACATTCAAGCTCTAAAATCACAATAAAGAAAAAATGACAAACTCCATAACAAATTATTAAGACAAACTTCAATAATTCTTGAACAATAAGCAATCAATTGAGATCAAACGATAAAATGATTTTCAATCTTCATAGAGATTCACAAAAAAGAAACCATTGAGGCAAAAAAAATCAAATGAAAACAGATACAATAAAACACACCCAAAATGTCCTACCACAAAGAACATTCTAACCCTAAAATGACAATAGAAAAAATGTCAAAATCCATAACAAATTAATAAGAAATACTTTAATAAATCTTAAGCCATGAACTTTCCATCGGTTCATAGACAACACATTTCGACAGACAATAACCCAACAACAGATTCGGGGCCGAGAGATCGA